TAAGTGATATCAAAATATAAATAACTAATGTCATGCAAACATATTAATATTTGCTTGATTCCAATGTTGAATTTAGCACAATTGCATACAAACGTTAAGGGATTTTAAGATTCTGAAGTATTATGCTAAAAACTCAATAACTTAGATTATTATTTATAGTTTTGCTGAATAGTTTCATGTCCGCTTACCTTAGAAACGTAAAATGCCACGGCAGTGTGCAGATGGGGAGCATGTTAGCTTAGCTTGGTAGCTTCAGCTAGCTCTGGAACTTTCAGCTCGGTGGCAGCAGGTCCCGCCTCGGCTCCGCCTCTTTGCCCTTATTTGGAGCAGGCTGGAGAAGGCGGGAGTTGAACTCTGACGTCACTGTCGAGCCGTTGGTGGCCGACTTCGCCTACTAAGGGCTTCTCGGCAACTCTGCAGAATCCTATGGGTGACGTCACGGACACTACGTCCATTTATATATACAGTCTATGGAATACACGTAGTTTACAGAGATGCTGTATGAGAAACCAAAGTGATTTTGGAAAATTGCACAATATAAATCTATTCTAGTAGACCTCAACAATGGAATTATGATCAGTGGAAATGGCCATGACATGGGACCTTTAAAGTCTATGAAATAAATACTTATTTTTTATCCAAACCTGTAACATGTTAATATTTACTATTGCATTGTGGAGAGAGAACACTTTACCCAACATATTGTTTGTATATTATCCTAGTCATTTCCTTACCGTTAAAACACTTTGTTTTGTTATAGAGATATGAACAAAATCCCATCACTCAGGTTAAGATACTGGTACATTCCTTTGATTATAAAGCCTGAGGCATCCTTAGGTTTAGGGGCTGACACATAGATATTTAAACAGTAGCTGATTAACGTGCATTGTCCGGCCCAAAATCTAGCCCTTCCCCTGTCCTGTTTTCCAGCACTTCTGCTCTTTCCCTTCCCATCCGGTTTCCCCCGGTTTCATCCGCCTTCTCTCTGTTCTCAGACTATTTTATGATAAACGCATCAGCTGAGCGGCAGGTGGGGGCGTTCCTAAATAAATTACGCAAATAGCGTCACTCCCGACCAATCAGGGGCCGGACTCTGTGTGTCGCTGGATAAATTATGCGGGCTTGTCCGGAGCTGCAGTTTTTTTTTGTGTGTACCTCCGAGATGAGCTGACCTTGGATTGTATTGCTACCGCTGCTGTCGGTGCACCACCCTTAACGGACAGTGTTAGAAGAGCCCGTGTGGATGTGCCGTTTACAGACCGAGAAAGTCGAGTCGGGACACGGGTGTGTTTGTTAGCGGACTGTGAAACATGACCAGCATGAATACTCCCTGTTTCACCGTGGCTATGGATCTAGGCGTCTGCCAGCTGAGAAATTTCTCCATATCTTTTCTGTCGTCGTTATTGAGCGCAGAGAGCTCACACGTCAAACTCGACAATGGGTAAATACATACCATGTGTTACATATGGAGCACTTTAGTTCCCGCAGAGCTGCCTGTGTGTTCAGGGCTCTCTGGTCGGTAATGTCTGTGTGATGGAGGAGGGATGCTACAGTATTGTTACACCCAGAGGCCACACTGCCATAAACGCTTTCCAGGACATCAGGAATTGTCCCGTTGATTTTATAGACATTTCCAGAAGCTTCCAGTAACAACCCACATTTCTAGCAAGAGCAAAGGAAAGGCTGCGGCTCTAAATCCTTTTGTATTAATGTTACACTATATAGCAGTCTGTTTTAAAATATTTCCCTTTTCTTTTTTTGCAGTTCCTCGGGGGCCAGTGTTGTGGCCATAGACAACAAGATTGAACAAGCAATGGTGAGTTTCAACTTCTTCCCTTTTGCTTGGTGGAAAATGTTGTTATTGTTATATATACTTCATACTGAGTGGGTGTTTACAAATATTAGTTAAGAAGAAAATATAGGCTATTTAAGGATTTGCATTGTGATGAGATGCAGTTGAAACAGTGAGTTTATTCATTTAAAACCTGACAAAATAAAAAAAGGACTAAGGTTTACTGTGGAGTGAAATTAGTGTAACTTTGGATTGTACTGTAATAACCACTCCATAAATAACTGTAAAGATATGATGTCTTCAAAAAAACTGTGCATGCTAATGTAAAAGTAGTAAAGTAGCTAACAATACCTGAGACGACCGGCTGTTCCCGACTTGAGACAAAGTCACGAACGTGTTATTAAAGTGTATTTTTTATTTCTTTATCGCACTACATGTCTTTGCTAAACCATGATAATATTTTTTTTCATTATTTTCTGTTTCCCTTTGTTGTTGTCGCTGCTGTCGACTCTGTTGCTAGGCAAACTGTAAGGCTCTCACGCCTAGTTAAATATATCTCGGCCTCTGATTGGCCCACACGTAAATGTGGGCAGGGTTAATGACGTGGCACCATTGAATATACTCAGTTTCTCTTCTGCAATAGTAGCGAGATTATGTTTTATATGGCATCACATTTAAATATATTTTCCCACTTACTACACGTAATTATTTAATATCATAATTTTTTCAGCACTTAATCACATTGTGTTGATTTTTAAGTTATTCTTCATTCTTATTGGAAGAAAACGGTTTCATATTATAGTAGGTTACAAGACAAGGGAATGCCACAATATTTAAAGTGTAATATTCTTACACGTGTAAGTGATATAGGATACAGGATTTGCCCAATTTTTTTTAGTTGTCATATGTAGGATTATTTAAATAACATTTCTTAAACATACACATGTATGACATAAACGCAATATATTGAACAGCATTTTATGTGTACTTCATTGTCATATAAGAGCAGTTGGCCGGGGCCAGCACCTCAGGTGGGATAGCCTGATATTCAGTTGTTATTTAAGTGACTTTACATGACAGAAATAAGATATTAAACATCAAGAATGGGCCACAGGTTGGTTAAGATAATTGCCTAACTCTTCTTTCAGTCAATAAGTTGTTATACTTCAGTCATTAACCCATATCTCTTTGCGTCTCAGGACCTGGTGAAGAGTCACCTGATGTATGCCGTGCGTGAGGAGGTGGAGGTCCTGAAGGAGCAGATCAAGGAGCTGATCGACCGTAACTCCCAGTTGGAGCAGGAGAATACCCTGTTGAAGACCCTGGCCAGCCCTGAGCAGATGGCCCAGTTCCAGGCGCAGGTTCAGACCGGCTCCCCGCCCGCGCCTCCAACAACGGCAACACCGGGACCCCCAAACACCACCCAACTCACCCAGCCCAACTCGCACAGCTCTGGCCCGTCGGCGTAGCATGGTCTGCACAGACTGACGGACTAACTGAAACGTTTTTCAGTTCTGCTACAGCAGCAGAGCTAAGCCTTGCCTTCTGCAGCAGGATGCTACGCTGTCAAAACAAGAATTTGCACATATTTATCTCTCAGAAGGATGCAGCCAGCGGGACGAGCAGCGCAGTGCTTTACAGCATGGCGGTGGAGGGGGACAATTTCGAAATGCTGTGTGGGGGGCGGTTGGTTTCGGGGGAGGATTCAATCATCAGAACATTTGCCAAAAAACCCTTGGACATATCAATGAGAACGTCTTACCAAGAAGAAACAAAACTGCTTATCAGTGGCGATAATACCCTTAGCTATAGATAAAAAAAAATCACTGTGCCTGTGTCTGGATTTTAGTGATGTCGATTTTACTGATTGTGGCGATGGAAGAGGATGAGGTAGAGGATTGTATTAGCTGTTACCTTTTTGCTGAATGATGTAAATAAAAAGTGGTTCCCTCTCAAGGCTATATCCTAAAGTTACAGGCTGAGATATTCGAGAGAAAGATAAAAAGGCCTTCAGAGTGACAAATGAAGAATGTGAGCAATTATTAAGACAAAGTCCCCATCTGGAATGGGGGAGGGGTGCGAGGGTGTTTTGAACAATACATGGCAGCATTGATGACGTTACTTCAAATGTGGGTTGCTGGGATGAACAAACAGTGGTTTCTTATGGAGGTGATGATATTCTATTTCAGTATTTCACTTTCAAGCTCCTCATTTTGCCCTAGACAAAGCTCATCATTGCTGTTCTCTCAACCCTGCAGTGGCATGTAATTTAAACCTTATTCGACAGGGTTGAGACATTGGGCTTAGCTGCATTTTCTCTTTTTCCTAAAAGTTTGATGGGCAGAAGAAGATGTATATTTCTGTATAGTGTAAGTACCATGATGTAAAATAGGGAGGAGAAGGAGAGAAACAGAGGTTATCTGGGTCACACAGATTGAAACGGGTGAGCGAGGAACGTCTGTGTCGTCTATTTTTAATGCTGTATTTTCAAGACTGGGTGGACAGGAGTTTAGGTTATTTAACTTACAACACAACAGCCAACAATGTTATCCATATCCCTTACTGCAACAATAACTTAATGTAAAATCATTTTTCTTTCTGGCGTATTGCACTTTTTTTTGACTGAAGTATTTTTGGATGAACAATATCTAGTTAAAACTCAACAAAAAACACTTTTTTTCGTAACATTCTGTGTATCAGTTGTATGCTCATGTTCTGTGCATGTTTCTGCAAAAAAAACGGATAAGATATAGTAACATGAATACCACAATTGCACTTGACAGTTGCACATCACAACTTTCAATAAACTGCTTAAGGAAGAATAATCACCTGGGTCAGCTTCTCTTTTTTATTCCTCCTCCTGAGCTCAGTCTGCTGGATGCTGTGTTGCTGAAGTCCTCTGCTTCTGGCTGTCATTGAATCACTGCCAGCTATGTTGTAGAACTCTCTTGTTAGCAGTCAGGTAAAAGCTATGACCAAGAGGCGTTTTGGTTCAAACTGCTCATGGATGGCCCTCTGATTTTAGACCAAAGATAATTGCCAACGCTATACATGTGTTATTCTTTCCTTGGGAATGTCTGTATAATTTGGCACCACCTAAAATGAGACAATATTATTTTCTTACATTCACTTTAACATATGCTGTATGAAGGCTAGGAATAAATAAACGATTGATGAATATATTTGTGCTTCAGTTTGAATGGAGTTGTTCCCTAAAAGTAAATACTCTCAAGAGACACAACTGCTATTCAAGTTAAACAACAAGCTAAACCAAGGATACTCTATTTCCTTATCCAGAGGCCACTTTTGAAAAAGGATAGGATGATGGGTCATTTTATATTGATAATAATGAATGCACGAATTCTAAGATGTCTATAACTCATCTTTAACTATGATTTAAGGCCATTCTTGGCTTAGTCCGGACCTCTAATGGAGTGTCTGGGGGTCCTTCACTATACAATATATCATGGGGCTTCTGCTTAGTCATGCATATTGTATGGACAAGTACAAGGCTTGGATAAAAATGTCATAAAGGTTGATGCATTAAAAACTTTGCAGACATACAACAAACGTGACTTTTAGTAAGTTGGCTACTTTATTTGATTAGTTATTCTACAGGGTGTAAATACCCTTAATACAATCCAAGCAAAATGGTGTCTGTGCACTGATAAACACATGGATTTGGATGAAAGAAGTACAACTTGTTCTTGACATTTATTTGAAAAAATATTATTTTCACACAGCACAGACATATACTTGAACAGACAGATATGGCACATATCAGCAGGATTCACTGGCTGCACACACTCTCATGTCAACAGTCAAAACTTCATACACACACACAAGTGTCAAGTGAGTAATGAGACACACATGTTCTCCAGCCGGCGTGGTTTGAGACTGTCCATAGAAAAGCTGTCAGTACCACAGACTGCAACACTGTAAACACTTATCGGGGGTAGGGGGATGTCCCCAGGATGGTGGGAGGATGGGCGGGAGGATGGGGAGGCTTCTCTCTATGAGGGCTGTAGCGTCAGTCTGCGTGGCCTCTGGATGGGGTGGAGGGGGTGCAGGTGCAGGCTAGCCAGGCTCAGTGAGGTTGTGGGGGCGAGGTACGGATGCTTCTTCTGCGTCACATCCCCATACGGATGCTCTGGATGATCTGAAATATGGCTGAGAGACAACCAAAATACAGTCAGCGCTGTCAAAACCCCGCAATTCTATGGATATTTTTCACAGGGAAACATCAGTAAAGGAAAACATAGCTCAATTCATAGCTGAAGTCAATTCAGCTGCATCAGTTTCAGGGTGCTGGTATAGTTATTGCTCAATGTAATGTTATTGACACTACTCTAGTTGCTACATTATGATTTGAATCCACCAGCATATGAACATATCTTATTGATGTTTGCATAATTAACCAGCGATTTTCTCACTCCCAACTCTTGGGCCTAGGCGTTTAACTCTGACACTCCCTGAACCCCTCAATGCTGCCACTGTTATAATGATAGGATTAGAGAAGGAAGTCAGGGTGGTTGGAATTAACAATACACAGGACTCTAAACCAGGGGGCTGCCAAAAGTCAATTTTTATCTTTTTAATTTACAAAAGTTAATTTAAGTAATGTGAATACTTGTGTACCATACGTAGCTTGAGTTACTAAACAAACATACTTATTTGAACACACACCAATATTTGTTTCCTAACACTAATCAAGTAGTCACAACGATAGCCATGTGTAGAAGTCTATTGGACTACCCTGCACGTTGAAAAGTGACACTAAAGGCTTTAAATGTGTATTAAAAAGTGAAACCAAGGGGTCCTAACCGATCGTTCGGAGTGAGAACTTGTTGAATCCACGACTATATTAGCTATACTAATTTACTTCATTGCACAAACAGACCCTTTCTTTTGTAAGAAACAAAAGTGCATACCTGATCCACACACAACAAATACAAAGAGGGCAAGCAGCCAGGGACCCACAGGATACTTCTCCTCTTGTGGTCGCTATGGAAAACACACACACATATATCCTTAGTGTATCAGCATTTCAACAGAAATGTGACAGATGCTGCAGAGCGAAAGTAAAATAGCTTTACATGGATAGGTTTACAATAGGGATTCCATTTCCATCCCGCTCAGGTAGTTGTTGCTGCTGCTTTTTGCCTGGTCACCCTTTGTCCTCAAAACCTGCCACCACAGATGATCGGGTTTGTTGTGCTGCTCACCAAAATGACCACAATAACAACTTTGTGGTTACACTGAACACAGCTGAGTGTCTAATATACACTGAGAGGTGGTGAGTTAGTGTTTTTTGATGAGTGGAACAGCATGAGTCAGTTAGTCAGTCTAGACCGATTTAGGGAGAAACCATCAGCCTCCAACAGATGATTTCATCAGTTTGGAAGTGTTAGAGGGTTGTCTGCTTTTAGTGAGGGAAGTTGTTGCTGTCAGTTAACGATTCTGGAGGAAAACAGAGCCTGAGCAGCCTCAATGTTTGACCTTTAAGCTGCTGTTTAAATTACATTGGGTGACAGAGGAAGAGGAGGATAATAAATAATTGTCAGATTGACTGTAATGGCTGGGCTGTTATTAAGAGTCTCAAAGGGTTGAAGAAGCCTTTCTTTTTCACTGCTAATTATGGCTAAATTAACAGAATACAACCCCCTTTTTAATAATGTGTGGAAACCAAAAAAAGGTGATTTGTTTATTGTTGGTTGGAAAAGAGATATATCATGGCAAAGAGAATAAGTGGAAGAATCTTCATCAGCATTTCTTGACCTTGGAAACTATGAGATCAGATACTAAATGGACATTGTGGTGAGTTTATTTTGTTAACTGCTGTTTCCAAGGTCAACAATGAACCTTGAAATATTTTTCAGCAGACATGGATGAGAGGCCCTCAGAGAAGTGGAAACGAATGTCTGCAAATCCATAAGCTTACAAATGAGATACAATCAAAAGTATGATTGTTGTGTCAACTGTCACAAAGTAGTGGTAAAATCACAAATCCACCAGAGTAAAAGGTGATGTCTTCAAATCAAAGTAAAGACATTCAGTTTACAATAAACAGATAATCAGCTAATAATCACATTTGAGAAGCTACAACCAGTAAATAGGCAAACTGATTGATAAATGACTCAAATGATGAACATATTCATTTAATCTCAAATCAATAACTGATTTATCGATCTGATTATTGTTTGTAATGTTGCAGATAAAACATAACACCTTGGTATGCTAACTAGTCACTACACATTTATATCCCAATCATAAATGAAACTACAGCCAATAAATCCAAACATCTGATGCTGTCTTTAGACTCAGACATATGCCTGGTTGTTATTATTTATCTTTTGATGAATTAATAGTTGTTGTATTACATGTCCAAAAGACACTTAATTTGCCATCACATGAACATTTGGTACACTAGAACTACCACACAATTACATTTGAGATTTAATTTAATGGAATATCAGCTTTAAATATTGATTGGACTCATTTACTGATATATTTTTGGGATATATTTTTGGGTGCTTTAAAAAGTGCTTCATCACCACCAACATGTTTGCATGTATTACAAAAATCAACCAGCAGCACTGACCTAGCTATATCCGAGCCTACATTACGTAACCTGCAGATGTTTTATTATCATAATTTCACACAAAAAATTTAAATAACGTCAAGTGACGTGAGGGCGGTGTGCATAAATAAGATGTTTAATGATGAAGCAGCTCAGCCTGGTGGGTCATAATGTATCAGATAGGACCAAGATGTGTTGCTGTATGACATCTGTGTGATAAGCAGGAGGACACACTTCACCACCACCCCCCCCCCCCCTCCCCCCCACCCCCTCATCATGCTGCTTCCATACCGGAGAGAACGTCACCTATCTGGGCTAATGTCATGCTGGCACCTCGTTGATGTCAGTTAGCGGCTCACCAGCGTCTTGGCCACGTTTCCTCTCTGCGTGATGTTCTTGCTGTGTTTCTCGTTGGCCATGCGGATCCTCTGTTTAGCCACCATCTTCCGGCACGATTATAAAACCCAGGATAAATTAGTCTGCTTTATTTTCTGAAGCTGCAGGCTTTCGACAGCACCCCTGCATCAAGCTAGGAGACCTCTGACACTTTAACACCGGAAACTGGATGTAATTACTTTCAAAATACGAGCATGGGATTTTTTGAGGAACAATGTTTGCATTTTAAGAGGAGGCATGGAGAGACATTTTATCAACAGCAAGTGGGGTTTTACTCTCTTAATGTGTTGTAAGTGTGCTCTGAGTTCTCAAAACAACTTAAATGTAATATTTGTATTGTAACTTTTTATTCTGAAGGTCTTCACAGGAACTAATTTGCTTCATTTTGGTTTTCTACACGCGACTCCTCTTTGCACCTCGTGAAGATGAGCGCGTATCCAGAGGCGCGCTCCACAATTGATAATGGATTTAATTGATAATGTTCAGAAGCGGAGAAAGAAAAATGATTTATGTCATTATCACATGTTCTACAAAATAAACAAGCAGAGA